CCCTCTACGTGTTTCTCGAAGACATTGACAGTCAGAGTCTTCGTGAAAGGATCAGCTAGGTTATCCAACGATGCTATCTTCGTCATAACTACATCTCCTCGTTTCACGATCTTTCGTATAAGGTGGTACTTTCTCTCGATGTGTTTATTGGCCTTATGTGCTCGGGTTCTCTCGAGTTTGCGACTGCACCAGCGTTGTCACAATAAATTGTGATACACCTAGGCACACTCGAAGATACCCCTAAGTCCAGTAAAAAGCTCCTGAGCCAAACAGCCTCCTTTGTTGCTTCTGAAGCAGCAACGTATTCGGCTTCCATGGTAGAATCTGCGATGCATTTCTGCTTCATACTCCTCCATGAGATTGCTCCGCCTTCCATCATAAACACATAACCTGAGGTCGACTTTCTCTTATCTTGATCAGCTTGGAAATCAGAATCTGTGTAACCCAAAGGAGTTAGACCGTCTGACTGGTAAACAAGCATATAATCCCGAGTTCTTTTCAGATACTTGAGAATATACTTTACCGCAGTCGAGTGTCCTTTACCAGGGTTAGACTGATATCTCGCAGCCATGCCAACCGCATAGCAAATATCAGGTCTCGTGCACAGCATGGCATACATAAGGCTTCCTACAGCCGAAGCATAAGGAACCTTAGCCATTTTCTCTATATCCTTTTGTGTCTTCGGACACATATCCTTAGATAGAGGAACTCCATGCCGAAAAGGTAGCAACCCTTTCTTGGAGCTCTGCATGCTGAAACGAGCAATCACAGTATCAATGTAAGCAGCTTGAGATAGACACAACATTCTCTTCTTCCTGTCACGAATGACCTTGATTCAAAGAATGTACGATGCCTCACCCAAGTCCTTCATTTGAAACTGTTCTGAAAGCCATACCTTTACGTCTGACAAAATCTTGACATCGTTGTCGATGAGAAGAATATCATCTAAGTATAGTACTAAGAATACCACTATGTTTCCGTTGCTATTTTTGTATACACAACTTTCGTCTTGACATTGATCAAATCCATAGGACTTGATCACCTCGTCAAAACGAATATTCCAAGACCTAGAAGCTTGTTTTAGTCCATCAAGGGACTTCTTTAGCTTTCATACTCGATGCTCTTGGCCTTTCTTCACATAACCCTCGGGTTGCTGCATATAGATGTCTTCATCTAAGTTTCCGTTAAGGAAAGCTGTCTTGACATCCATTTGCCAAATCTCATAGTCCATGTGACTTGCTATGGATAAGAGAATTCGGATCGACTTAAGCATGCCTACCGGTGAGAAGGTCTCATCATAATCGATTCCCTCTTTCTTAGTGAAACCCTTCGCAACCAGCCGTGCTTTGAAGGAAATAACCTTCCCGTCAGATCCTCTCTTACGCCTATAGACCCATTTGCACCAAATGGCTTTCTTGCCTTTAGGAAGGTCCCTAAGGTCGTATACATCCATAACATCTATAGATTCAATCTTAGAATCCATAGATTTTTGCCAAGAATCTGCATCTACGTCTTGGATTGCCTCATTGTAGGTCCAGGGATCACTATCATGCTCTTCACTTGGGATCAAGTCTGAAGACTCTCCCACAAACATGAAACGATCGGGCTGACGAACAACCCTTCCACTACGACGAGGCAATTCAGGTGTAAATACATCAGAGTCAACACATTGTGCAGTCTCTTGTGGTATATCCTCTTGCACACTCGGTATGCCATTGTCTGCCCTCAACTCTTTGAGGATAACCTCACTCTTGGACTTATGCTCACTCATATAGTCATCCTCTAAAAATCGGGCATTGGTGCTAACCACTACCCTCTGATCTTTAGGACTATAAAAGTAACCACCTCTCGTTCCCTTTGGGTAACCTATAAACAGCCGTACTTCTGTTCTAGTGCCAACTTATCAGCTTCCTTATCCAACACATGTGCTGGGCAACCCTAAATACGAATGTGGTTTAAACTGGGGTTGCGCCCGGACCACAATTCTATTTGAGTTTTCAGAACTGATTTAGAAGGTACAAAGTTAAGAAGGTACGCCGCCGTTTCCAAGGCATATCCCCAAAACGAGGTAGGTAATGAAGCATAGCTCATCATCGATCTCACCATTTCCAACAGAGTCCTATTCCTTCTCTCTGCTACGCCATTCTGTTGGGGAGTACCAGGCGCAGTCAGCTGGGATGTAATCCCATTCTCTAATGAGTATTGCCTAAATTCATTGCTAAGGTATTCGCCACCACGATCAGATCGCAGTGACTTGATACTTTTCCCTTGACGGTTCTCCGCTTCTGCCTTGAATTCTCTGAACTTGTCAAAGCATTAAGACTTGCGGTGCATCAAGTAAATGTACCCATATCTTGAGTAATCGTCAATGAAAGTAACGAAATACTCAAAACCACCTCTAGCTTGAATAGACATAGGCCCACACAAATCAGAGTGAATCAATCCCAACGCATCATTGGACCTATTCCCCTTGGCCTTAAAGGGCCTAGAAGTCATCTTGCCTTCCAAACAGGATTCGCAGACTGGAAATGGTTCAACTTGGAAAGATTCCAAGAAGCCATTACCTACCAGCCTTTGGATCCTCCTTAGATTGACATGACCCAACCTTAGGTGCTAAAGATATGTCTGATTCGACTGAGAAGGTTCCTTTCTCTTGTTTAGTGATGAAGATGCATGAGCCTCAGTCACAGTATGATATGCACAAGTAATAGTATAAAGATTGTTAACCAACATGCCAGAACAGATAAAAGAGTTATTTCTTATAATAACAACATTGTCATTAAAAATAACTGAATATCCATCCAAAAACAGCTGTGAAACTGAAATTAAATTCTTTTGAAAACTCGGCACGTACAAAACGTTCTTTAACACTAAAACAGAATCAGAAAAAGATAAGTGCACATCTCCCACTGCAACCACTACCACTCGTGTAGCGTTGCCCAAGCTGATGGTAATCTCGCCCTCACTGAGTTGCCTTCTTTGCAGAAACCCCTGCAAAGTATAACTAACATGATCAGTGGCTCTTGTATCTACTACCCAAGAACTGGTAGAACAAGCCGCAAAGCATGTTTCGACAACTAAAGCAAGAGACGTACCAGGAGTGTGCTTGAGGGGACAATCTAACTTCCAATGTCCTGTCTTGTTGCACTTGAAGCACTTGCCTTTCGGCTTCACCATGCCACCAGAAGGCGCTACCGCTTTACCCCCACCACTCCCACTGCTCCCACTGGTTCCACCACTCTTTTTCTGCACTTGCTTTTTCTTCATCCCGCCTTTCGACGAAGAAGGTCCAGCTTGCACAGAAACATGAGCCTGTGGTCCCCTTCCCATAAGACCCTCCGCTGCAACCAAGTCCGTAAGAAGCTCGGCTAGAGTATAACCCTTATTATTCATGATTGCATTCAGGCGGAAGTTCTCATAGGACTTCGGGAGCGAGTGCAGGATGATATCGATCTTGGCTTCGCCATCGATATTTCCTCCGAACACATCTATCTTATTCATATATTCCATCATCTTGAGAACATGCTCTCACACAGAAGCTCCCTCTGGCATGACAGAAGACATAATCTTCCTCATAGCCTCAAACCGAGCAGCCCTATCTTGCTCACCAAAGAGTTCCTTGAGGCTCAACATCATGTCAGCAGCAGTAGGCATGGTGTGATGCTGCTGTTGCAAAACATTTGACATGGATGACAAGATGTAGCAACGAGCCATCTCATCAGCCTCATGCCACTTCTGATGAGCCTCCCTTTCATCTTCAGTAGATTGGGCGCTCAAAGGAGCAGGAGCAGGAGTGGTGAGCACAAACTTGTACTCATCAGCAACAAGGACAATATCCAGATTTCTCTTCCAGTACAAATAATTTGGACCAGTAAGCTTGTTTTGATTGAGAATGACCATAAGCAGATTGAATGACATGATGAATAACTGAAATAAATAATTGTAAACACGTAAGCAATAATTCACATAAATTTGAAGCAAAAAATATGGCAACCTTCAAAACCATTATTTAATGCAACCTTCGACAACTTAACAAACACACATGCAAGCCAAATTGGGTGGACGTTTACACATATTTCAATTAAGCAGGCACCCAATTGTTAATCTCAATTGCACGCCAACTTGTCCTTATGGCGAATGAAATTAATAGTTGAAATTTTTAACACTGGCCATGTGAACTAAAACAGGGACTCTGTTGGGGAGTTATATTAAAATTCACATCTAAGTGATGACCACAATTTAACGCCAAGAACAATCATTCACAATTGATAAACCTATCGATGGGGAAGACACATCGCTTGTAAATAAATTTCTATGGTTATCTCGAAATAATCTTTACCGGTGAGCTTATAAATGACACTATCCTTTAGGGAGGAGAACCCATGGGTCACGCGTATGCCACTCACTTCACCTAAAGGTTAAGTCGTTTGAATAGAAGTCTTATCTAGTAAGCTCGTGAATGTCGCATCCGTTAGGGGGAGACTCCCAGGGTCCCTCGAGCGACAAACACCTTACCTAAAGACCAATTGTGGAGGCCAAATGAATTAATTAAAATTCATATTAAACTCACTTAGTCATTTTTACTTGAAGGTTTTTAACAACATGCAATAAGAAATAATTAAATTCCTATCATGCTCCTAACACTTAAATCACATAAATCCTAACATGCTCCTAAAATTCAAAACAAAAGCAATAACAGCTTTCTATGAATTTATAGCACCTATTCACATGATTTCTAGCATACCAAAATTCGATTTAAATCAGCTAGACACATAATCAAATAAACATGCTCTAGCAAAATTAAATCGACATCCACAAAGCGATAAAAAATGCAAAAATTAAAACACATCTACCACAGCCCCTTTAAAACCAACCACTAATAGCCTATCAAAAACTATTACATGATCCAGTAAGTCGTGGATGAACACTCAAATCGGCATCTCGCGTAAATCGGGTCATTCACGCAATATCGACACCCACCGACGGAAAAGCTGAAAACTTCATCTAGAGGATTGAATTTGATCCCGCCACAGGCTATCACAGCAAAGCAGTGACATGTGTAGATCTCGCTTTCCCGTTTCCGAAATGGTATTATGGGCTGAAATCAGACACCTGCAGCAAAAGTTATGGCCAAAACGGTTTTCGCCGACGAAAATGCCCCCGGTGAATGCTGAAACCCTAGCCGCCGCCTCCAGGTTGATCATCTTTCTTCACGTTCGACTTTGAACACAAAATTACAGCAAAAATCTAACAAGAATAGCCCTACTACAGTCTACAAAATCGTCTATACTACCCACACTTATTATCTGGTGGGAAAAATGATTACAACAATACACAAGGGCTGCGATAGACACCATCCAGAAGCATAAACGAGATAAACAATCATCCATACCATGAACATGACTGAAAACAAATAAACGAATAAACGAAATCAACTACATGTTCCAAGCAGAGTCGATAATCTACGAAACCGAGGCTCTGATACCAATTGCTGGAACACGCCGACGAGGCGGTCCTTCGCACAGATCGATATCGGATACCAAACACATACATACATGATTTCGAATTACCCTAAGCATGCTCCTAAAGTATGAACAGAGAAATACCTTTCTTCGAGGCTTTCATTCGATCTGAGCGATCTTCTAGTCTGTGTCCCGACCACGTTTGGACGTCGGATGGACGACGATCTACCAAATGGTTGAAAGGAGCAGATTGTGCTTCGTCTTCTCCGAACCCTTCGGGTGACTTTCTCCTCACGATGGTGGCTAAAGGTGTCACGTTTTGTGATGCTGCATAGGGTTCAAGACGTGTAATCCCTCCTTTTATAGAGGTCCTTGGGCCAGCCTAGGGATCTCTTAGAAGGTATAGGATTTGGGCTCCCTACAGGCCCAAATTCTTATGTTCAGCCCAGAACACAATGTAGCCCGTAAATATTAATTCATTCCACTAGAGAATTAATATTGCACTCCCGTCCTATCCCAAAATGAATCAGGGCTTCTATTAGACTCGATATAATTTTCCGTGTTTAAGATATCGCACATCCATTAATTATTAAAGCTTCTGACTGCTTTAATTAATCAATATTTTTTATTCCTTAAGTAGTACCACTCAACCTTATTATCGTACGGATTAAATCCACCTGCAGGGTTTATACGATAATCCTTATGAGTTCTTTAAGGGGACTTCATCAACCTGGATGTCCAGGACACGGTGCCCTAATGCCAATAAATAGATATCATGCAGATAATGTTGTTACCCAAGATACAGAGCATGTTGAACCAATACTTGGTCACACCCATGGTAAATCAAAGTAACAAACAAATATCCCACATACCTAAGTATCACAATTAGGGTTAAGAATTAGTAGTCACCGAGACCTAGGTTCTTCATGATAGTCAGAATAGAAGAACACGTCTCAACTGTGATCCATTCAATGCGACGCGGCGCACTAGTATAAACCAATAGCCAAGACAAGCTATATCCAGTTTATACTACAACCTAAACCGATAGTCATGTCCATAACTATCTCAGTTGTGAATACCATTTATGTCTTATAAGGGACCGACAATGTAATCTTTTGTGTGACTACTAACACACCACATTGTCTACAATATAAGATAATTGGACATTTTGCATACAAGCAATCATAAAGAATGCAACAATGTGAAAACATTTATTTCAGTCGAATGGGAAATCGAATAAATACATTCCAAAAGCTC